GGCATGCTTCAAAGCCAGCCCAGGCGACCCCATCTCAATTAGGATCAGATTTCTCAAGTGGCCTGCACTGGGGGAGAACAGAAAGGGACATTTATTGAGCACTAATTGAATGCTTTCCTCAGGACTCGTCTTCCCCCTGCTTCAAGTGCCAGCCCTGCCAGCGTGCGAGCGCCCATCTTCCTCATATTTTGGAGGCCGGAAGGGAGAAAGGCCGTGGCCAGACATGAGGGCTGGTGAACGTCAGCCTCATCCGTGTGAGTGGCCACCCACTGGGGCGGCTCTGTCGCCTGCAACACACACACACGTGCACACACACGTGCACATGCATGCACGTTTCAAATATTAAAAGGTCTGCCGTGGAAATATCCTTCTGCCTCCCGTTTCCTCCTTTCCCCACCCAGCCTTACAACGTTTCTTCTGTCCCCTCTCAGTGTCCCATCAGGCACATCCAAGCACAAGTGGACACAGATCCTTCCCCCCTCGTTTTTTTGGTTGAGATTAAATTCACGTGACATAAAATCCCCCATTTTAACTATTTCTCAGTGGCCTTTACTTCTCCTGTTTTTTAACACACAAGTGCACAGCACGGTTCTTCCCGGGCCCTGTCACTCGGCTCCGCGGCGGGCGGTCTCTGCATGGGTCCTGGGGCTGCACGATGCTCCCTTGGGTGGCTGAGCCGCAGGCAGTTTCTCCAGGCCCTGTGGCTGGGTGTGTGGGTTCTTCCTGCTCTTTAGCTTTTACAAAAGGGTTACAGTGAATAACTTGGGACTCCGTCATTTCCCATGCACAAGGACACCTACAGAATAGCTCCCAGCGTGGCATTGCCAGCCAGAGGGTAAGCAGGCTTGTGATGTTGGCTGCTCTTCACCTGCCCCCCCGTGGGTGGGTCACTTATGCACCACTGGCCCTGAGTACGCAGGTCTTGGAAAGAGGCTTCTCCGTGAGCAAGTCTGTCGGAGTTTGTATGGCAGGATGTTGTCATCCATGCCAGGTGGAGGCGTGAGCTGGCCTCGAGACATGGCCCCGTCAAGCACAGCTCCTGCTGCTGGCTGTAGACTTAATGACTTGGAGCTCAAATTTGGCCAAATCCGCATGATCCCCTGGGACAGATGAGGACACTGAGGCCCAGAGAGCCATCCCACCGCATCTCACACCCCCTTTGTTTTATTTTAATCCATCCGAAAAGTGCCAACTCTCACAGGATGACCTGATACAGAAAATGTTGAATTCCCAGTTAATGCTATTTGCAGGTAAAGATGTAGCTATTTTGCAACTGGCCTCCCTCAGCCCTGGGAGCCGAGACCCCCTCTGTGCCATCCTTTCCCTTGGAGTGACAGGGAGATCTGTTAGTACCATCTGAGGGTCATCAGCTGGTTGGCTGTGGCTTCCTCCCACTGTGGAGCTGCTGCCGCAGACCCTTCCAGGAGGCTGTGCTGCAGAGTGGCTTTCTTAGGCCCGTGGTTCTGGGGTTCTGCGTGTCCCGTGTTTGAAGGCGACATCACAGAGCGGTGGGTGGAGTGATGGGAGTGAGCCCACAACAGCCCTGCACGTGGGCACAAGAGGCTCCTGGCTCTGCCGTGTACGATGCCAGGCAGGCCACTTGGCGGCTCGTGCCTCAGTTTCCTCAGCAGTAAAATGGGCACAGTAGCAGCGGCCCCTCCCTGTGGTGCCGGGCTGTGTCGGGGTGTCACGGTACGGAGTGACCACTGCGCCCGCCCTCCCTCGGGCAGCAGTACCTCCCCTCTCTTTTTCTTCCTTGGACGCTCCCGACCATCTGGGGAGGATTCCTGTGGGCTGCGGGCTCCGGCAGCCTCCAGGTGGGAGGAGATCCTGGCAACGGCCGGGACCCTGCAGCCCCCGTTCCCATTCCTGACGTTTCTCTCCAGCCAGATCAAAGCACCCCAAAGCTATGGTAACGTGCGAGTGACTGGAAAACCTGTCCCTGGGATATTTCATTTCCAAAGCTGTTTGTTGAGGGTCCCAGAAGAACATGTCATAATTTTTACATCTTTGAAGCCACTTTTACTAGAAGTTTCCTTTGAAAACACAGGCGTCCAGCACGGCAGTGAAGTGCCCAAGCTCTGAGGTTGAAGTGCCTGGGACCAAGTCCCAGCTCTACCACTTGCTGGATGTGTAGGTTTGGGCAAAATATTTAAGCTCTCTCTGCTTCGGCTTCTTCATCTGTAAAGCAGGGGTAATGATAGGCACCACCTCGTAGGGCTCCTGGGGGGAAAGGCGTTGAGCGAGCAAACCGCCCAACAGTGCCTGGCTGCTCGGCGACGGGGCTGGCACCAGCGTGCGTCAGCCATGACCAGTATTCTTACCAGCGCGTGGTTCCTGTGGCTTGTGGGTCACTTCTCCACTGCTACTGAATATTTAATCTTCACGATCACATCATCGCAGATCAGGAAATGAGGTGCATGGAGGGGGTGCAGGGTCTGCTAGCAAGTTCAGAGCCAGCTGCAGAACTGGGCTGGCTCACCCCACACTGGGGCCTTCTCGTTGCCAGCTGCAGAGGGAGGGATGCCATGGGGGCTGCCTCGCTGTTTGGCTGCTCCAGCACTGGGCCCTCTTGGGCAGCTTCCTTGTTTCAGCCCCAGGCAAGGACAACACACCCCAGGTCTCTGGCCTCAGGACCCCAAACTCCCATTTGGCTTAGCAGGTTAAGGTGGCGTCAGCAGAGCGATTCTGTCCCCCAGCAGGAATGGATGGGGGTCCTCTCGATGGAAGGGGGTGTTTGTGTATGCACGACCAGAGCAGGGGGTTGGGCACTCTGCCCAGGGCTCTCACCTCTGCCTGGCTTTGAATAGTTATTTATTGTTGCTTTGGGTAAAACCACCTATGTTTCTTTCAACGCGTGGTGGAGGCCTTGTGCCCAGCGCTGGAGACAAAACAAGAAAAGGTGTCCACCTTCGAGGGTCTTGTCATCCAGTGGTGGAAACAGACCCCGTGAATTGTGCAGGGCTGAGGGAAGTCCAAGGGCAGGGCAAAGTACGAAGGAGGCATTGAACCCAGTGTGGGGGCCTGGGGGATGTCCTGGAGGCGGTGTGGATTAGGCTGAAATCTGAAGGTTATCCGAGCCCAAGGAAATAGGGCTTGGGGGCCGGGAAACAGGGTCCCAGGATGAAGAACAGCTTGTGCAAAGGCCCTGAACAGCTGGGGTTTAGAGCGAAGGGTGTGGGCACAAGCGGGGAATCTCCCCAGAAGGGAGGAGGAGGAGGAAGTGGTCCTGCTCCGTCACTGTCCGCAGCAGCAGAGCCAGCACACACAGGCAGAAGCACCTGGGAGACGGCACTCAGCCCACGGGAGGGCCAGCTTCCGAACCGCTCCGTCGAGATCAGACTGGGCTGGGCATTTCATCCTGGAGGGGGCCAGATAAAACAGACTTTGAGGTCCCTTCCAGCTGTCACATGCTGGCTTCTCAAAATCGCCTCTGGGAAAAGCAAGACTATAAAATATAAATCAAAAGGTTAAAAATACGCTTGGCTCCTGCCGGGCTGGGCCCTGTCACTCTGCCTGCCTACCGTCCTCTGTCTTCAGAGGACTCTGGCTCGACTTTGGCGGGCAGCGAGCTGACCAGAGAAAATCGCTTTGTTCTGGAGCGAGGCAGAGCTGCTCTCGCCTCAATTGACAAGGCTCTGCTTTCTTTTTTAATCATCACGGCCTCTAAGATGCACACTGTCCCATCTCGGTTGACATCCCCGCCTCGTATCTTCCCTGCTGTAATCACCAGGGAAAGAAAGACAGTTGATCAGCCAAACTGCTGTCTGCAGAAACGATGCCCTGAGGACCGGGTGCGGAGAAAGTTCTGCTTTCCTTGAGGAACCGAGCTGTTGGAGACTCTGGCCGGTGTGGTGACCCCAAATTAACCAGGCTAACAGCGACGCCGGGAACCGAGGGTGTTCCTGTTTTTACCTCCCGGGGTTCCCATGGCAACGGAGCGTTAGGAACTGCTAATAGGGACTGGCAGTGAGTGAAATGGAATTTGATGTACATGAAAATGCAGTGGCTAGTGAAGTAATTGGGGGTAAATCTCCTTTCGCACCGGGGCTGGCGAGTCCTCGTTTCTTTGTGTGTGTGCGTGTGTGTTCACATTTTTTTTTTTTTCCTTTTTGTCTTTTTTCATGACCGGCAACGGTATCGCAACCCTCGGTGTCGCGCCCGCACGGCGCTCAACGAGTGAGTGGACCAGTCTCTATATGGGATCTGAACCCTCGGCGGGAGCACCACCGCGCTCCCAAGCGCTGCACTCTACCGAGTGCGCCACTGGGCCAGCCCCACATGTTTGTTTTGAAGAACATTTGGGTGCTTGTCCACTCACGCATCGTCACTTTTATAAACAGCTGCATTTTTCTGCACAGGCCTGAAATGCAAGGAGCTTTGTTAGGTGGGGCTTGTGTGTGTGGTGCATGGTGGAACAACACAGAAGTGTGCATGCCATCTGTGACTTACGGCCTGCCTCCAGCTGTCGTGGTTGTCCTTGCCACCTTCCCAAGCCACTGCCATCAGCCACCACACTAAGAAAAGTCGTGGAGGGCAGACCGTGGGGACCTGCTCCTGTCTTGGGTTACAGCCTCCGCCGCTGTTTCTGGCTGGCACCGGTGGGGACAGAGACCATTTCAGAAGGCTTGCCAAATGCATCTGGTCCTCGTGCTGGGACCACTGGCTCGGCTGTCCCTTCGGCCACAGTTTGAGATCGTTTAGGGCTGGTTTGAATTATTCCTGCCAAGTGGCAACTGGTGGGTGGTTTTCACAGGACTGGGATGTTCCCAAAGTCATTCTGAAGAGTGTAATCAAGGGTTCTGTGCAGAAACAAGCCCCATGTCTGAGCGCTGTGGTGCAAGGTGCCCGGGACCTCCCAGGAATTCCAACTGAGAAAGGCCCCAGATGACTGACATTTGAGAGACCCCGAATCCCGGTGGGGAGCAGTGTTATCGGATCCTTTTCTGAGAGCTTCGAAACCCGCTGATTTCTGCCTTTTCTTTCTGTTAACACCACAGGTGATCTTGATCCTGACGAAGTATTACCATGCAGACATGGGGAAGGTTCTGGAAAGTTCTCTGTGGCGGTAAGTCAGCCCAATGGTGGGCCATTCCCCTCACGCACTGCACCCTGCATCATCTCCCGGGCCTCTTGGCTGAGGGCTGAGGTCCAACTGCCCGGGGTCAGGTGGTGACCTCGCAACGTTTCTTCAGCTGGAAAGTGCATAAAGGAGAATTTGAAAGCGGATTAAAGTTTCGGCGGTGTGCGCACACCACGCTGGGGGGAGACGCTGCTTGGGAAGCTTCTTTCTTTCTTTTCTTTCCTTTCTGCTCTTTTTTTCTCCTTCCCATCTGAGGGTGCGCGCTGTGAATTCAGGTCAGTGCACAATCCTCCGCCTGTGCCCAGCCTCGCACAGGCTCCCGGGGCCACCAGAGGCCCCATTACCCGCATTGTGTGGCGTTTGTCTTTTTTCCAGGCGTAGCCGAGGAGCTCAGCAAATAAATAGCCTGCTGGCGACGGGGGATATCTCTTTATACATGAAATGTGAATTCAGCCCAAGAACGTTAGACTGCCTCTTTGATGTTTTAAATGAGATGAGAGAGAAGCAGCTTTGGAGAAACCATTTCGGTTATTTTCTTCTTCAATATTTACATCTACCCCCAGGAAGGGTGCAGACGGTTCCCAGCCTTTTGGGCTGTGGTTTCCAAGCTTTGCTCCCACGAGGATTCTGTCTCTTCCGTGCACCGATGACCACCTCCACATGCTCGGGATGGGAAACCGTTTTGGTTTCCAACCTGCGTTTCTCAAGTCATAATTAATTCATTTTTCTATTTGAAATCCATTAAGAAAAATGTCTATACCTGCTGATCGGGACTTGTGACTTGTGGAGGGCAACCACCACAGCCACCTCAAATTGATTTATTTCTGGCTTTGGGCTTTGCTGTTAGCAAAGGGTTTGATGATTCACTCTGTTGGTTCTTATTTCTGTGACACTTTGGGAAGCTGTTGAAATTGTGCCTCGCTGGTTATTTTCTTTGCTGTATAAGGAATGGTGTTGCCTCCAGCCAGCTGGCTTAGTCACCTGTGGTGCTAAGGAGGCCAAGGTTGGGGATTAAGACCCTCACGCTCCCCTGAGGCCCGTGGAGGGCACGGCCCTGCTGCCAGGGAGACGGTCCAAGGATGGGTCCCTTGGCTACAAAGTGGACAGAAGCAGTTACGTCTTCTTCCCTCATATGCCCCAACTCCTGCATGGCAGTCGGGCACTGAAGGCCTCCAGCGCTGGCTCATTGCCCGCTCATCCGTCCCTTCAGATGCCTTCCTCGGAGATTTCCAGGATGCCGGAATTCCTGCCCTCACTGCAGCATCTCAGTGTGGCAGGAGACGGAGGAAAGAGGAATATCTTAGCTGTTGCTGGGATCCTGAGCATCCTTCCTGGTGTAGTCTACATACACTGCAGAGCCGCGGGGTGCGGTTCACATTTGTGGCGAGCCCTTGGCCAGCCCTGTGGCCGGGGCTCAGCCCCCTTAATTGTGGTCTCCAGACAATCAATCCCTCAGAAGCAGGTAGGGAAGCTGAGGAGCCAAACCGCCCACCTCAGAGCTGCTCCAAGCAGGGGGGAGGGGGAGGATCCTTCTCCCCACCCCAGAGCCTCAGTCTCCTTATCTGTAGTATGGGGATAAAACAGCCCTGAGGGGGAGGTTGTGAGGACTGAATGAGATAATATATGAAATGTCGCTGGAACAGTGCATGGTCTAATTTAGCTTTCTCTGAAGCAAATCAACAGATTTTAATTTTCCATGTTCCTTTCTCATCACTGTCTTTATACCCAGACGTTTCCTCGCCTTTACTAAAAATACATGCAAAAAACATTACTCATTTCAAGAAAATTCACCCACGTCCCTATGCGTCAGCCCAATTACTTTGTTTATTATCTTCTATGCTGACATATTTATATAGATATAGCCATAGAATAAAGTTTGGCATCATTTTTTTTCCATGTATAAAATCCATTTCCTGTTTGCGTGTCGGAGCTGGCTTGTGTCGTCCCGTCTTCTATGGCTGTGTCCCTGCCCCTGAGTGGACCTATTCTCGCACTTACTCATCCTGTGCTGCTGCTGCCGTAAGACACTTAGGCATGTGGTTTTCCTTTTCATTTTGTTCCTGGGATGAATCTTGGGGAGTCACATTACTGAGCCAGACAGTGAGTGATTTACGGCTGGCAAAAGGTAGCATCAAATTCTTTTCCAAGATGCGCCCACCTGGGTGGGGCCCTGCATCCTGGCCGCCTTCTGTCTTACAACCGTTCTATGACCTGCTCGTTTAATGGGCCCAGAAGGGATGCTCTGTTGTTTTAATTTGTATCCCTTTGACCCCTAGTGAGGACGGACGGTTCCCTGTGTTAATAAGCAATCACATTTTCTCTTTCAAGCATGATCTGCTCATGTCCCGCTACCTATCTGGGGACTTGCACAGGTAGCATTTAGAAGTGGAAAACTTGTCATTGGTGTTCCTCAGGATGCTGCCCCGCCCTTGACTGTGTTTGAAGCACACGTGGATGGAAGGTTGACGGTGCCCCGTATCTGGAGAGCATGTATTAAATGGCGTTATTAAAGACACATTCATTGACCGCCTACAGAGCCTCCCAAGAATCTCCTGTGTAATTGCAATAAATACACTTTTAATGACAGGTATGGTATTTACATTCTGGAAATGGCTCTCTGAAATCAAGCTGGATGCAGTTTTAATTGTCTTGAATTTAATGGGCCCCACGTCAGCAGCACCTCTCTCCTGGCTTCGACAATCTAGTGCTCTGCCCCTTTCTTCTTGTGTGTGCGTGTGCGTGTGTGTGTGTGTGTGTGTGCTTGGGGGTCCTCTGGGTCCCTTTGCATCAGTGCGAGAGGCTGGGGTTGGGGAGAAGAGCTAGACCCTACCCCTGGGGAAGCCCGGGTTGGCATCAGGGTTTGAGGTGCACAGAGCTGGCTCCTCCACGTGGTGTCCCCGCCAGAGCTGAAGGCCACTCTATCCTCACCCTCATGTTCAGTCTGATTTACTTTTCTGTGGCCACTGTAAGAAATGATCGCAAACTGGGTGCCTTAAAACCACAGAAATTTATTCTCTCACAGTCCTAGAGCCCAAAGGTCCAAACCAAGGTTGGACATGGCAGCACTTGCCCGGAAGGCTCCAGGGAGGGTCCTTCCTGTCCCTCCCAGCTCTGTTGGCTCCATCACTCCGATCCCCACCTCCACCTTCACATGGCCTCCTCCCTGTGTGTTTCTACTCTGTGTGTTTCTTATAAGGACCCTTGTCATTGGTTTTAGGGACCGCCCAGATAATCCAAGATGATCTCATCTTGAGATCCTTAACTTAATTACATCTGCAAAGACCTCTTTTCCAAATAAAGTCACCTCATTCACAGGGTCCAGGGGTTAAGACTGGGACATATCTTTTTGGGGGCCACCATTCAGCCCACTGTATATAATTCATCACCAAATGCTGGCAATACCATCCGGATCTGATTTCCTAAATGGCTCTCGCGTCTGTCCCTGTGTCCCCATCCTTCACCTAGTTCCCTTTCTGCCTCCTCATCCTCGGCAGGGTCCCAGCTCATCAACCTCCTTCCCTCTCTCCTCGCAAGGCCCAGTGACTTCACACACACACACACACACACACACACACACACACACACACACACACCCGTTCTCGTCCTGCCTACTCTTCCCCGGTAGCTCCTTGTGGCCAACACCTGCCGTTCCCAGCCTCCTGCCCAAACCCTGTGCCGCCCAGCAAGGGAATCCACTGGGCAGAGCCAGAAGCTGCTATGGCAAGTGGAGGGCACATGAGAGCTCATTGTATACGTGAAAATTGTGTCTATTCCATAATAGAGCTATAATTATTTTTAGGTAAAGTTAAACAGCATTCGAAACACAAAAATTAAGAACACAATATTCTGAAAATGTCCCCCCTGCCCCCACCGCCATCCTGCAGGAGGGAGCTGCTGGGCTCACCCGGGGTTCAGGCAATCCTGGACAGGAGCTGGGGGGATTCATGGCAACAGACAGAGTGACCAGCAGCACGAAGGGGTCCCAGGACGCAGGCTCTCAGTTCTAAAACTGGAACCATCCCTGGGACAAATCGGCCCCCTAAGCAGAGCAGAAGATGAGGCTGGCCCTGCACGCGTCCTCCACACCTGTATCAGTGCTTCCGATTGTCTTTTTGTCATTGCCCCACATAACTGTATTTCTATTGAAGTATGTGTGTGTGTATGTGCATTTGTGCATGTGTGTATATATGTGCTTTATATGTAAAATTAGTAAGATAGTTTGCCTCCCCTCAAGAGCTAATTTTTGCCCCCTTGGGGTGACTTTGTCTCCAGCTGAAATGCATGGTGCAGAGAAGAGCTTCTCGAACTCTGATGCATGTGTGAACCAGGTGGGGGCCTTGTTAAAGTGTGGGTTCTGATTCCTAGGTCTGGGGCAGGGCCTGAGACTCGGCATTTGTAAGACCTTCCTGGTGGTGCTGATACTGCTGGTCCATGGACCACACTTTGAGTAGCAGGTCCCAGTGATTCAGGGGTCATCTGGGAGACTTAACAGAGGTTGAAGAAGGAGACCTGTCTGGTCCATATTGTTGATCATCGGATGCCCAGAACCAAGCACAGATCTGGAACAGGAGACACATGTGGGACATTGGATGGACAGATTGACTGATGAATGAATGGATGGATGGATGGACAGATGAATGGATGGATGGATGGATGGGCAGATGAGTGGATAGCTGAATGAATGGATGGATGGGCAGATGAATGGATGGATGAATGGATGGGCAGATGAGTGGGTAGCTGAATGAATGGATGGATGGATGGATGGGCAGATGAATGGGTGGATGGATGGATGGATGGACTGATGAATGGATGGATGGATGAATGGATGGATGGATGGGCAGATGAATGGGTGGATGGATGGATGGATGGATGGACTGATGAATGGATAGATGGATGAATGGATGGATGAATGGATGGATGGATGGGCAGATGAATGGGTGGATGGATGGATGGATGGACTGATGGATGGATGGATGAATGGATGG